GTTCCGGTGGTTCCGGCGGAAACGCGGCGCCGTGTTGCCGCCGGACGCCGTGCCGTCCAATCAGAACGCCGTCCGGGCCAACCATTACACGGTTGAAGAAGCGGCCGCCGCCATACCGGTGGTCGTGTACGCGTCTGTCATCAGCGGTGGTCAGGATGACGGGCCGCACAACATGTCACCACCGTCGCTGTCCCTGTCGTCGGCCGCCGACGACGTGCTGTATACCGAGCTTGACCGGGTGCCGACGCCCGCTTACCACAACGCCGGTTACGCGTTCGACCAGCACAGCAGCGCCTACTACTCGGACATGTACGAGCCGATCGACCCCTATCACAGCAGTCACCACCATCACCAGCGGCAGAACTCGCTGCCGTCCGACTACGTCTGATATTACGCCCGGCACGCGACGCCCGCGAATCGACGACGCCGCCGCAGCCGACGACGCCGATCGCACGCAGCCGCATTGCCGGTCTCGGTGCCAACCGTCTCTCGCGTGTACCGTGAAATATTAAAATAGGTGAGTTGTTGTTTTGTGAAATGTATTCTGTTCGTGACATATACCTCATATACATTCAGTCATTGTGCCTCAGCTCCTCGCGGTGCTGCTCTATTTGATTCCCAAAACGTTTCAGCACCGTATATAGGCAACCGATGTTTACATCGCCTTGCTAATAATAATGTGTGCAGTGGTTATAGGCTCGCGCTGTCCAATTTACTGCTCTTGATGGGAGCGAGGGGAATTGTAGAAAAAAGTCTCAAGTAAAAAAGTCCTAGGAAAAAAAGTCCTAGGCATAAAAAGTCTGCCGTAGAAAAGTCCTAWGCCTAAAAAGTCCGAGATATGAAAGTCCGGTATAATATAATATTATTAGAAAAATTCAATGATTATAATGATAATATATAAAAAATATATAACAATCGAAATAATTATTCATACAAATAAATAAAAAATGCGATGATTATAATGTTAAAATAAAAAATATAAAACAATCGAAATAATTATTCATATACCTACAAATAAATAAAAAATGCAATGATTATAATGTTAAAATAAAAGTTTATTTAAAAAAACAATTCAATAATTTTAATGTTTATCTAGGCCTTGTTCTGATATTATGACCAACTTTTTCTAAAAATTCTTCAATGGTAATTGAATAATCATCTATATTCTTTGGTATAAAGTAACTTACTATAGTCGGATATGTGTTGATTTTTTTTTTACCGGCTCTCCCATGTAGTCGATAGCTAATTTCGCTTTATCTGCCGCTACTTTCAATCTCATTTTTTTTATAAGTGTCCAATTAGTCGAATGACTGTGTCCAACTAAATAACTAAATTTGTTATTCCACGATTCGCATACATTATTCGTTCGATGGTCACCATTCATCGTTATTTTATGTACATTCCAAGTAGGTATTCGGAGGAAAAAGTGGACTTATTTTTTTGAATTTAAATTTGGTACCAGCCCCTACTTTTCTAAGTAGTTCATTTACGTAGGTTGCGTCAAAATAGTCAAATTTGAATCAAATATTGTTTGAGCGGCATAAATTAGAGCTTTTTCAAAATCAAAATTTAAGTGGATTGAATCTGGAAATAATGC